GGGGTTGGACTAGATGATCTCTAGAGGTCCCTGCCAACCTCAACCATTCTGTGATTCTGTGAAACTATGTTGTGAAAACCAAACCACAATGGAAACACAAGATGGATTCATTGACTGTGGGAGAAAGGAATTGTGACTGTTTTTTGGGTTATGAGAGGGAAAGAAAAATATACTCATCTGTTGCTGAGAGACCCAGAAGAAAGTGAAAAAGGAAAAAAAAAACAGTTCACGATAGGAATTTAAAAGGTGATCTTTTGAACATCTTTACAGGTAGACAGCTGAACGTATTGTACTAACTTAAAAAGGGGTATATATAAAATTATTATTAATAAATAATACTTAGAAAAATTCCTAAAAATACAGATATGTATCTGCAACCACAAGGGTTCTCTCAGAGGTGGTGGATTGAGGCAGGAATGGAAACTGCGGCTTTTTAAGCTATGAAAAAGTGAAATAAATGTCCAACCCGCATGTTATAAATTTCTCTTTTATTTACAGTATCTAGTCAGCTAACAGTTCTCTTGCTCTCCAAATACAACCCTTTGCTTCGACATAAATATTGAGATCAGATGCCAGCTCAGAGAAACTAGCAGTGGGACGAGGGAAAAAGAGGTACTCTACGTGGGGAGCACTTTGGCGTGTGAACAGCCCACAGTGAGGGCCAGGCTGATGCTGTGGACGTGGAACAGGCCCTGGTCTCGCTTCATCACCGCGTGCTCACGGGAATCACCCTAAAAGCACATACGGGAGTCTCCACCGTGTCAGCGCTGAAAGAACACAGATAACACCCATTTACAGCACTCCAAAGCTTCTGTTGAAACAGCCTGTCAAACTGTCACATCTCTTCCAAAACACATTATAAACATATATATTTTTTCACCCTGATAGAAACTTTTCATTGTATTTACCATCTAAAATAACGAGATATTCACCTTAAAGTACAAGATCCACTAAGAACTACAATTGAACTTTGTGGCAGTTCAGCAGAAGCTCATGCTAAAGCTTCTACAGAACTGACACACGCAAAATTGAAGATTTGTATTTAGAAATAACTGTTTAAAATTTGAACAGGTCAAAGAAGAAGTCCTTATAGATGGCGCTTTCTGTCAGTGGTTGTGGGCAACTTTACAACTTCAGAAGGACACCTCATTGTGCATAAAGAAGGAAGCACAGTTCCTTGAGGGATTAGAACCTAAACTACCATAATGAATACTATTAATATCCCACTAAAAATCAGAAAATATTTTTTTCAATGGCCTTAAAAAGTACATGCATGAACATGATGCTAAAGGTTAGGAGATGCTGTTTCCCCTTCTTTGAATGATTTCCCAAAAGCCCACCTCTCTGTATTGCAATTAATTCAAACTTAATTAAATCTGCCCTATCTACTTAGAGGTAAGCTTATGGGCTAGAGATAGTCTTATCTCATATTAGTGCAATCAGTACAATCTCTACACAAAGGTGAGAAATTCTGATAGGACTGCAAACACAAATAATAAAACACCCTGACACCATAATAACAAGCCTTTTCTTTCTTTCCCTTTTTTTTCTTTAAATTAGGCATAAAATGCACCAGTCAGCTCAGAGATAATGAGTGCTCTGATTAATCCACCTAACACTTAACCATGCCACTGCCCCAGGGACAGGCAAGCTTGTTCTGTGCAACAAAGACTGAATCAGCAAATTCACCAGTTCAGAAACACAGACCTCCAATAATCTTTTTAGATTTTAGTTCTGTTACCTGTCATTACAAAGTGATTGCTAACATCTCTAGTTCCAGCAGAAGCTACCCCTCTGTGCGGGTATGCTGTTTCTAAGCCCAAAAGATATGCTCTTTCCAAGCCAAACTGTCTCTGCACATCTGTAGGACCAGGTATTGCAGAGCTGGCCACCAGCCAGCTGGGCAAGAGCCATCTCGGGTCTGCAAGCAGCAACTCCAGCTACAGACTTCCTCCAAGCTTATCCAAGATCGTGCCTATAAATAACAGAGTTGACTCTAACACGTATTAATTCAAATTTTGGCAGAACAAACATAAATACATCATTACACTTTCAAATACGTGAAGGATTCCAAGCACAGAGAGATAAGCAGCTGAGCAGACCCACAAACAGCAACGGGAGAGGTGAATGCTGCGGAGGCAGCACTGCTGCTGAACAGCAGCACAGCTGCTACACAGGAGTTCCACTAGTGCCACGTGCCGCTCAGTTACGCAGGAAAATCAAACTAGTAGAAAAATCTCTAATACTTGAACGCGTGCAAGAACTGTAAAATCAGAAAGGATTTTTTTTTCCAAAACTCCCCTTGCACACACAGCACCGAAGCTATTACTGCTCGAAGGAAATGTTCAAAAGGACAGGCAGAAAACAGATTACCCTAAATCTTATGCCTCTTTCAGATGTGATTTTTTTTTTTAGTGGAAAGGAGGAATGAAACTGCACTAAATAACAGCCGTTGCACAAAACACTATTTTTACACATATTGAGTTATCTCTCATATTTACTTTATGCTAGAGAGCATTCAATCTGCCTGAAGAAAGCCAATCGTTAACAATTCTCAGGTATAATTTCCCATATATTTTATCTGTATATATCTTTAAAATTTCTCCTTTCCCATGTTCAGACTGACCTCAAATGAGCATTTCAATCTATATATATAGCAATAAATCCATAATCACATAATGGATATTTTGTCCTTGATGTTTAATTCTAAAGGTTTAATCTTCAAGAGAACTGACTGCCTAATTTAAAGGATTACATCCATAATTTCTAACACACTACCAAAAAATTGTCAATTTATATAGTTATATCATCTACTGAAAAATAAGTTAAATGTGAAAAATTAAATATAAAAAAATGTATCAGCAGAATCAAGTTGCCAAAATTATGATTTTTAAAAGGTTACTGTTGACATGAGGGAAGTAAGATTTATTAGAAGACTGCCTTCCAAGATGAACAATTTTTCAAATAGAATTTAACAAACTTACCAGCAACCAAAATGCATTGGATTGCTGCAGGGCTCACATTAAACTTGCAAAACTCTGTGCACTGTCATACAAAATTTCTCTCCATTCTTGCCTATTTCCAATTCCCTAAATACAAAGGCAAATATAAAGGATACTTCAGCCCATTCCTACATCTCTCTTTACCATGTCCTGGCTAGAACACATTAGCCCAGCTAAGATATAGCCAGTACCCAGTAGAAGCAAATTTGTCAACAAATATATAGATTATACAGAGATTATGATTTTTACTGAAAATACGGATAATTTCATAGACAAGAAATAACAACAACAACAAAAAGCACAAAGTTGGTGTGCAGAGCATAAACCCTCTGAACTTGTCTGTGAGATGTTCTTATGGATACTTTCAAGCCTATACTCATACTCATTCATTATATTTGTTATATTTGAAATCCCTGCCTTAAAAACTCATAGTTATTCTTACACCAAATACACTATGAAATACTGCCTAGCCTCCCTCATTCACTTAAAACTATGGATTTAATCATTATGTTTCAATTTAACACTACAATCCTTAGTCTACACTATTCCTTTAATAGAAATATGATACAGTAGCACTTCACAGAACAAAAGCTCTTGCTGACAGCTATCTTCAAAATACTCAGAAATTCTGAAACATGAATCTTCCATTAAAGAATGTTAACACTTTAATATGCATTTATATCTATTTGTATCAGGAATTTTAAAGAACCTATGCAGATGACAAATAAAAATATAAATAATCGCACAGTGGGGATCCCTGGTTTATGAAGTCTTCATGCTATTACAATCGATGAACAAGGAAGAACTTCCTTTGTCAAATTCTAAATTGATAAGTAGTTCCCAGTAAGAGGACAATTATTATTGTTTCATTGAGCTAAAATATTAAACTAATTAGATAAATTGTTCTTATGAAATGAGTTATCATTTCACAAAGCACCCTGTCTGGAACACTGATAATCATTTTTATTCAAATAAATTCACATGATAAAGGCTCGCTGTGTGAGCCATACTCTCACAGTCGAAGAATGTGCTTGGATGATGCTTGGATACACTTTGATAAAAGTGAAAAATTGAGATTTGTTTTTAAAAACTCACTACACAGATAAATTTCTCTCTGCTACCCTTTCTGATGAGAACTTCCTAGGCGATTTTTTCTTTAACTTTAATCTTGGATGTACATTATAAAACCTGGCTTTAACTGAAGCAAACATGTAGCTATAAAGATCTCAGTAATTCAGTCATTGCAGATGATTTAAAG